AATATATTTGGTAAAAGGCGTACTACGTACTCTCTTAACCCTAGAAACACAAGATCTATATCCAGCCATTCAGCAAAGATCCTGCTACATGGCTGTACATCTTATTTTGGCATTTGACCAATTAGATGAGCCCTTGAATGATAAATTACATACACTGGGAAAAAAATGATCCAGAAACAAGTAAAAATGTGTTAATTAAGTGTATTTACTCTTAATTTGAGCAGGTAAATGAGATAGTTTGCCAATGGAATGAGTATTCTTACTCTTAAAATAAGATAATTAGATAATATGCACTTCAAATAAGACAATCCAGTTGTGTTTTCTTATTTCAAATCTAAATTATCATTTTCCATTGGCAAAATGTCTTTCACCTCTTCAATTCAAGAACAAATGAACTTATTTTAAGAAAAAAGGACTTATCTAGATTTCGATTTTTTCCAGTGTACTGTAATTTAAGTAGGAAAAAAAGTTACGTCGTTAAAAACAGCGTAAAAATCTAATTGAAAAGGTAAAAATGTAAGTTAATAAGCCGAGTTAACAACTATGTTTAGGTTTATAAACTAAAAAAGTAAGAGCCGGTATCAACATTAATGCCTCTTAATGAATTCCTTATAAAAGCACTTTTGTTATTCATATATTCGGGCTAGTCAGCATTTCTTGTTATTACATTGACATTAATCTTTACCCTTTTTTTATATTACAAAGGTAATAAGGTCTTGTCCTGGATTCCAATAACACTGCTGGCTTGAAATTATGATTTTCACTGAGGGCTTTATAAAGAGTTAAGCCATAAAAAAGAAAAAAGTTCAGGAGTTTTATCAAATATACCAACCGGTAAATTGTCTTCATACCAAAGTGAAAGATTGTTGTTCTCTACTTCAAAAACAATTTAGATTTTCAAATGGAAAAAGTTTCTATTTTTTTTAGATTTTTTATTAAAAAAGTAAATGTATAACATGGAAAACCTGCTTTTTATTTCAGTGTTAAATTCTGTTTAAAGTAACAGATTATAATAAAAATTGTCTCCGGATATTCTTTATTGGGACACCACTGATGTTTAATTGGTTAGCCCTGCTATCAGTGATGGGCAGTAGCACATGTAGCGAAGCTACTAGTTTAACTACATGTTCCAGTAGCTTGACCGTGGCATAACTAAGAAATTAAACCAGGTTTTCTATTTTGAAACAACAATCAGCCACAA